CAATGTCTGCCTGGTGAAACGGCGGCAGGCCCTGTGGGTTCCATCTACAAAGTCAGGGTCTTCCTTCAGCAGGTGCCGCAAGGGCAGCGGGGAAGGTCTATGCTTCCAATTTCTCAAGTTGGCTACTCATTCTACAAAATCGAATGCCATCATGCCAGAAAAGGAAAAGAGCCAGCGGCAGACTTAAAAGTGTCCTCATATCAGAGTAGAATTGCATTGACAATGCTTCCTTGCTCAATACCAAAACAGTCCTTCGCAGCTACGAAGATGCCGGGTGCTCAGGCTGTTTGGCATGCCGAAAAATTCTGAAAGGCTTTGTTTGCGCCAAGTCCTTAAACCCAAACCGTAAACTCGCAGACCCCGAACCCCTGGCCCCAAAACGCCAAACCCAAAACCTCGAAATGCACAAGTCTCCTCCCTGCTGCACTACGCAAAGCCTTCACCTCTGTGATGCTGGATACAAATCCGCACACCCCCCTATCAACTCCCAAAGCGCTTCTTCCCCTCCCCCTTTGCCGCCTCGCCGTAGCCTCCCAGGGAGGCGCCCCCAAGACGAAGCACGGCCAGCGGGCCCAGGTGCGACCCCTTTTGGGGAAAGAGAGTTCAGGCTTGGCATTCAGGATTTCAGGGTTTCGGGACTTGATTGTAAAGGATGTAGGGCTCAAACCGCATCTCCTGAAGCTCCTGCAATCTCCTGAACCTCTGAGCCTCAAAATCCTACGATGTCCGCCTGGCAAATCCTCGAAATCTCTTCCGCCGGCGATGTGATGAGTATCCTCTGCTCGCGGTGTGCCTGGGGATTAGAAGTCCTGCATTGCTTGAATTGCAGGTTAACTAGCTATTCCAGTAAACAGTTCCGTTCCAGACTGTAAGGACCGCAGAGTCAAAGAGGCAGCCAGTCTTTTGCCGCGCCCCCGTTGCACAATAACTTGCCCCACGAGTTCTAACCAAAAATGGGATTTGCTTGCATGGAGTCACTCGTTGTGAATGGGGTGTTCTCAGACGCCAAGACATCACATGATGTGCAACTGCGTCACAACGTGGTTGCACTGACTCAAAGTTATACGGCTTTTTCCACATGGATGCGAAAAAGGGACTCCCACGTTTAAGAACGACTCGGGAATCCGTCCGTTATCTTGAAAACACGCATGTAGTGGACTGATACAAGAATATACAGACGTGCAAAAAAGCAGAGAAGTCAAGCAGGGAATGAGATCTCTGTAGCAGTTCCAAGCTCTATGCTCCTTCATAACAACTCCAACCTGAACCCTACATCTCTGCCAGCCTATTCTCACCAAGCAAGCACAAGGATGAAAAGCCGCCTCGCGGACCGCGGCTCGCAATTCCCTCCGAAGCTCTGCATCAGCAAACCAAGCCTCCAAACAGCAAAAGCGCTGCTTTCAGGGATGCTAGGGTCTTAGAGGTAGATGAGGATTGCAGGAGATTTGGGAGGTCCGGGGGGCCGTACAAGAATTCGAGTTCAGAATTTTCCAGCAAGAACGCAAAAAAAAACTTGCGGTGGCTACTGCATCGCACTAAGAAGGAGCATGAGCGGAACACTCGCTAGAACCAAGCATTTTAGCAGGAAGACTAACAAATCATCCCAGCGCTGCTGCTACGTGCTGCCGCGCCATTGCCGTTGCATGCTTTGCCGCTGCTGCTCCTTTGTCTTCTCCCCCTCCTGCTCGCTGTCCTCCCCCTAGATCTCCACTACCAATCCACACCGTCCCCGGTATGACCTCACGCAACTACATGATTATTGCCGACAGCGGACCTGGCAAATGGGCATGCAAGTTGACACTTCCTGCGGCACCATCGAGCAAGTTCTGGAAGCCTGCATAGTATAACCCTGAACAGCAAGGCAAACAGAATCAAACGATGACTCCCAGCATGAGCTTTCTCACCTTCAGCCAGAATCAGTGGGATTCCCACTGTCATTGAGCTGCCATTTGGGTCATACCACCCACTGCTGCTGCTACAACTTACCCTGGCTGCTGGTGCCTCTAGCGGTCGCCATAGACCCTAGTATGCGTTCTAATTATACCGGTCCATGAAACCCTGTATGAAACAGATGTAATACATTGAAACATCACCCCCCTGATTAATCTGTTTCTGTTCAGCCCAGGCCTAGTCCCCTCCCCGCTCGCCTCATCTCCGCAGAGCTCTGCGCCGTCCACCTGCCAGAGATTGGCTAGGAACTGACTGCTACTCACATCCATGCTCCTACTCCGACTACTGCTACTACAGCAGTAATAGCAACAATATCATAAACTACTACTCAACTAGCACCATTACTTCTGCTGTTCCTTGCGTCTGTCTGGCCCAGTTTTTCTGGCCCTGCCTTCAGCTGCTCCAGGCGCTCGTCTGGCGTCGGCGGTGGCACACTGGGCGCAGGCGCGGGCGCAGGAGGGCAGGAGCCTGGCAGCACTAGGGCCGACGGCGGCGCCGCGGCAGCTGCCTTAGCTGCAGCAGCAGCTGCAGCGGCAGCAGGAGCTTCGGCAATGAGGCGATCCAGGATCTTCTGCCTGAAGGGGGTGCGAAATCATGACTAAAAAAGAACACGAACTATAGATGGAGAGATTCACATGAGGAAGCCAATTGTCAGGATGCAGGAGCACAGAGGATGCGTCCACTCAGTGAGGGATGCTGTGCAACTTGTTGCAAACGAGCCGATTTTCGCCCTTTGCTTTGAGAACACCGATCTTCAGAGTCTGAGCCTAGGTGCCGCGTTGACAGGGGCTCCGCTGAACCAAGGACCAAGGTCACTGAGAGCTCTAACGGCCCGACACTTATTGGGGTGCTTTTCTGCCTTTGCTCGCCCTCCAAACTGTGCCCTGCCATGAACTGAGCAGGGCTCCAGACCTACCACCGCGGGGCTACGAACGCCCAAGCCGAGGTTCTATTACTGCCCTTGCAAGCGCTACCATTGCCACTACTTCTGCTGCACCTGCTACTTCTGATGCTGCCTTTACTGCTACTATGATGATGACGACGATGATTGCAAGGTCTGGACTTATACTATCTTTCCGCCATGCCCTCACCGCACCCAGCTCAGCGTCTGAGCCTTTCCGTCACCGCAGCAGAGAGTATCATCTATGGTCCGCCACGACTGGAATCTAACTTCCAGATATTAGACCTAGTGCAGTTACCTACTATCAGTGCATGTATAGCAGCTGTCCAACCTTTATGCAGAATCTTCGGACCATGCTGAGGGCCCCTGCATCCTACAATAAGATTTGCACAAAATCATGTTGCTACGAAAATGTTTCTTCCTTCCAAACATTCCCGGCTCCGGGGTTCAGGGTTAGGGCTTCCTAAGCGGGGCACAAACAACCAGGATGGAAGAGGGCTTAGGATAGTTGTAGCATGCTGTGCAAAGGAAGACGGAATTAGATCAGCAAGCATTCAGGACTTGTACGATTGCTGCATCTTGGGGCTTTTGTTCCTGTCTCCAATGGGTGGAAAAGCGCTTGACCATCCAAGCCACGCTCTTCGGGCTCGCCCTAGATTTGTCTCCGAAGGTGGCATGCCTCCTAATGTTAGTGCTTATGAACAGCTGGGCGCTTCTTTGAGCACTCTGCGTCACTTATGAACCTGAAGGCTGAGCCCAGCAGTGGGCTTTGAAGTCTTGACGGTCCAAGACTGTAGCACATGACATGGCATGGGCGTGTCTCAGTGGCGCAGTCACCCAAAGACAGATGAAGGCCCCAATTCAACACCCCGCACCTGCGACTCGGACTCCTACGCATACACACCAGAAGTAGAAGGGAACTGAGGCTCTGAGACAACCCACACAGCAACGGCGTGTGACACACTGGAAGGTCGGACTTCAGTATTGATGGCTGCACTGTATCAATAGCTCCGACAGGGGTTGGGATGAGGACTCCACTATTTGGGTGGAAAGTTGGGCTTATGTCTGCGATCAAGAAGCTTCAAACTGAACCTATGCTCCGGATATGAAAGTATTCGGCACTTCACATCTAGAAAACATGCAAAAAAAAAGCATCCAGCATGCTGTAAACGAAGATGTCTTCTCAAGACAGTCACGTACTACTGACGGTACTATTCTCACATCTCAATCCTCCCCTTCGACAAGGGAATCACAAATTTCCTCTAATCATAATGGTTTTCCACCATACCAAGACCGAACAACGGGAATGCTGAGAGCTTCTGCTTCTCACCGGGAAACTAGGGTTGTACCCACTGAACCCGTTCGACGTGTCTTCTAGTTACAAAAGGATGAACTTCGTGTAAAACGGTTTCAGAGCTATGGTATTAAGACAAAAGAAAAAACTGTTGAAGAAGACCCCCACCAACCAACAAGCAACTAAGTTGAAAATCCTGAGCCCTGAGCTGGGGGGCTATGAAAGACCTCCAGACCATGCAGCAACTCTCACGGCATAGGCGCCCCGGTCACAATGGCCTCAGAATTGTAGCTTGCCAAAGTGCGGGTAGCTTCTTAAAGTACGGTCGCAAATTGTACTCAAAATACTATGTGGCGAAAGAGACTGGGCACTCTTGTTTGGCTGTTCTCCCAGCCTCAATAGTTCGAGGTTACCAGGTCTACCTGGTGTAGGCCTAGGCCACGTGGCAACCCATGACCCATCAAACCGTGACCTAGCAGCAGCACCAGCAGCACCAGCAGCACCAGCAGCACCAGCAGCACCAGCAGCACCAGCACAAGTAGCAGTAGCAGTAGCAGTAGCAGTAGGAGCAGGGAAAACCACAAGCGGTCCATCGCTAGCGCACAAGCAACAGAACCCATAAAATCAACAGTCATGGCGACTCTGCTAACGCCATCATCTAAACAAGACCCTCGTATGAACAACGTACAAGAGACACAGACATGACAGCACAAGACCATGGCTGAAAACCCTAGGAGGTGTGTCAAGGCGGCCCAAACCCTTGCCTCAAAGGCCCCTGAAGGGGAGAGGTCAGGCTTGCTGCATCCAAGCCGCCGTTGCTTCGACCTTGGCTGTGACCCTCACACTGCACTCGCATCAGGGCTTCCCTATTCGGGAGTTGCTGCAGGGGTCAAAGTACTTTGGGGTATGTAGAGGGGTCCTTCGTCTTCTGCGATGATGCTGCCGTCTGGACACAATCTCCGGGGGCATAGGCTTCGCCTTGCCGTTGCAGCTCCGCTTGAAGTCCGCGATCATCTTCAGAGCAGTGTACATGTCCTGAGCTACTTAATTGAAGCTTCACGGGTACTTCCAAGTGGGGGCATCACAATGAGCACTTTTGATCAGGTTTAGCAATCGGCTTTTGACTTTAACTGCGAATTTGTAGAGGACAGTGCGTGTGGGGCCAATCCCAAGTCCTCAGCGAAAGAAGTGGATCGATGCAAGGGCTGTGCGAGACCTCTGAATCTACCTTTGCTGCATTTCACGCCATGAAGCATGACAAATCTTGAAACCTGTCATGTGCACAGAAACTACTCCTGCAAGGCCCTTGATATTTGTAGCTTTGTGGGGGGCACAGGTTTCTCTCAAACAGCTGAGAAGCTCTATAGCAAAACCACACGAAAAGCTCATGCATCCGGATTTCTCACTACAATTAGCTGCATGAGCGTGACCCCTGATCGCGGCACAATCTCCCTCTAGAGAGGTTTGCTTGTGGAATGCACTTTCACGGCACTGGTGCCATGACGGAGCTTTCACTAATTTTATGAGCCATGGGTCCTTAACGCGGCCCACACCCTGAACCTGGACAGCACTGCACGCCCAGCCACGCAACCCCAGAAATCGCGATGCCAAACAAACCCTGAACCCACAAAGCCCTGAAACCCTTCAAGCCCTCAAAGCCCCCGTGCCACCTCAATCAAGCTGAGGGCATGGCTATGCGTGGCCTCGTGCCCTGCACGTCTGCCTGTCAGGATGACTACCGATTCCCCTGAAGAATCCCGGCTCTGCAGGGGTTCAAAAATATTTCCAAAACCAACCAAATCAAAACAAAACGAGCTATCCTTTAGACCCAGGCATACATCAGGCTTGCAGATGTCAATGCTCTTCACACCAACATTCGCAATTCCCTCTCAGGGCCGGCGAAGAAGACTGTTTCACATCCAGTGGGATGAGTGCAAATATCGTGTACGGGAACGCTGCTGTTCTTACAGACCCACAAAGGACATGAGTTGCCCAGAGAAAAACTAAGGCGATGTCACCCTGAAACGACAGAAGAATCTTTCCAGACCCAGGATGTAATCCTCAAGCCGGCACTTCTCCCGTCCACTCTTGTGTGTCAAGTCAAACCTCCTAACTTTGAACATGCAACAGCCCAAAGCCTGCCTTTCCCTAATTATGAAAAGTTTATATGCCCTGAAGTCAAAACCGTTGGCTCGCTCTGCCTTGTTGGGTCGAACTTTGTTCTGCATCTCCTGTTTCCACTGTTGAGCCTGGGAAGTTTTCGTGGAATCTGGGGATAAATCTCTTTATCACGGAAAGGTTCCTTCCAGGCTTACTTTTCCCCCCAGGCACTCCTGCGCTGCTGTGTCCGTGGCTTGGTGTTTTGGGCTGGGGTCAAGGAGTTTAGGACTTCAGTTTGAAGGTCTTCGCCGTCTAGGGGCTGGAAGTAGAACCTACAAGCTACAAGGCGCATGGATCAAGATCAGAAACAGACTTGCAGGGTTTTTGGGTGTTGTGCGCTGGTCATTCAGCCTTTTGGTCTCGTCAGTGTCTACTATGATCAGCCTCCGCAAAAGACTGACTCGGATCTGCTTGCACGCACAAGTTCCATGGAGCAGCATAGACTTTCAGCGGCGAAGCCCACCGGTAGCATTGCAACCAAACTGATGACTGTCAGAAACTCTGAGAGTGAAAGGAGAGCCGTGGATTCTGGGACCATCATCATCATCATCATATGGTCTAGGAACTAGCCACAAGATTTTGCAATTGCCATACACACCCCTGCCAGAGGCCATGATGAGCGTGGATTTTATATACATATATCATATATACATGTCCTAATCAGCATGTGTAGAACCAATCCAACTAAGTAGTAGGCTACACTCCCTGAAGGATCTTGAAGGTCCAATGCAGTGATGCCCTTCCTAGCTCCAATGAAGTTAGAGGATAACACCATGATTGCTTGGTCATTACAGGCACCTACCTAACCTAAAACCCTTAAGCCTTGTCCCTAACCTTGAAGCCCTTAACCCTAACCCTTAAATCCCAAACCCTAACCCTTAAACCCCAAACCCCAACCCTTCAACCCTAACCCCTAAACCCCAAACCCTGGCATGTGAGCCAAGAAGCGGCTTGCTTCGCAGCAGCAATCCTCTCCTGCCAGGGATAGCTCTACGCAGCCCAAACCTTGGAGTAGAAAGCCCAAGCCACCAAGCTATCCAGTTACAACCTCAAAAAGAGATCTGTGTTTCTGACAGCCGAAAAACCCTGAAACTCGGAATGCAAATGTTTCTGAGCAAGCTTCTAGTGGCTCTTGCTGTGTGGCAATATCATTAACGCTGACGTCTCTAGCTGCGTGGCTGCTCCTGCTCCCGCTTGTCATCGTCATCTTCATTGCCAAAAGCAAAGGCATTGGCAAGCTTGGCTTTTCTCCGCTTCTCCTCCTGCACACTTGAAGGGACAGGAAGATGCTTCCAGCCACGGCATTCCACAAGACCTCGAGTCTCCAAATCCTGAAACTGACTTCCCTTCACTCCCTTCCGATCCTGCCAGTCCTTCGGACAGGACTAACAGTGCCACCGAGAAACTCTTCCCCAAACAAATGCTTGCGTGTGTTCTTGGATGCCGTGAGGGGTCTACCCATAAACCCTGAACCTTCAATCTAACTACCTAAGCCCAAAACCTAACCTCCTAACCATACCCACACTGATGGAGAAGGAAGAGGAAGGGAACACCATCACTCAAAGGTCGCTTCACCAGGGCACATCCACAAAAGTTTCTCCTCCATACGCTTCTGCTTCTCCTCGGCCGCATGCTTCTTCTGCGCCTCGTACTCTTGGGTGGCCTCCTCCGTAACCACCTGGAACTTGTCGACTTTCTTGGGGGAAGGTGTGGTTCAAAACTTCGGGATTTACGCTTGTCGGCCATAGGGAGAGCTTAGGTTTTACAGTGCACGTGGGAAGCCGCATTAGCTAGAACAAAACTGACATTCTTCGATCCCAACAGTACGACATTGCGGGGAAGTGGTCCAAAATTGGGGGCTGTCCAGGTAGGCTTGTACAGACTCCGGCATTTCTTGGTATGAGGATGTGTGAGATGGGCATTTAGAAACTTCCTGTTGCCGTAGCACGTGTCCTTTCTCTTGGCTACCTGTCAACTGCATTCTTTGGAGGCGCATATCTTAGTCCCGACCATGCCTCGGATACGTGTCGAAACCCTGTTCTCAATCCCCGCAACTCTGGAGATACCGCATGACCTTGCCCGCCCCTAAACCGCCCTAAAAGCCCAAATCTTTCACAGCAAAACCTCAACCCACTGAAACCCTCCCTTCCAAGCCCGCCTCACCTAATAGGGCGACCCAATGTAAACCTTAAAATACTGCAAACTCATTATAGGGACCCCCAAAATGGTAACTCCAAATTTTGGGAAACCCCCCAATCCCTTACTCAGGAGCCGTTCAAGCCCGCTGCCGGGACCCGGGCCCAGCCCCCGGAGGAGGCTCCACTGGAGGCCGAAGCGGCTGGCGGTGGCTCCCTGGAGTTTGAGGAGTTGGGGTGTAGGATTTGAAGGATTTAGGATTTAGCATTTAAGTGATTTAAGCTTTAGGATCAATGGCTTGAGGATTTCAGAGACTCAAGGTTTAAGATTGATGGCATTCAGTGGTTTGGAGAGTTGGAAAGGTTTCCTGAAACAGGGTAAGAGATTCAGGGGGAAGGTCTGAAACAAACTAGGGCTACCCTTGGCAAGGGTTGGGGGTTTAGGGGTTGAGGACTAGAGCGCTGGGGACCTGTCGGGAAAAACAACGATAACCGAAGGGTATCAGAGGTTCATTTGAGGATCAAGCAAGCATCATCCTAAGAACTCCCATGGACATGCAAGGGTCTTTTGGGTTTAGATTTGGGGTGTCTGCGTTTGGTTGTAGATGGCTTCACAGGCTTAGGTAGGGATTCAATGCTCTATGTACAAGGTTATGTAAGCCAACGTAGGCTTTCCACGACTCATGCAAAGGCTGCATAGCATTTGCGTCTGGGGTGTAGAATGTTTTGGACTCATATGGCTTGGGAATGAGAATTTGAGGGATTTATGAAAGGCTTCGTAGGGTTGGTGCTCTCAAAAAGGGATCACGAAGTCCATCAAACTGATTCACAGTCCTGAATCCATGTAAACACCCTTGAATCCCAGGCCAGGCTCCCCAAACTCAAAAGCACCAGGAAGCTCTGTTCGTAAGTAACCCTTTGGAAGAGGCCTTCCGGAGGACGTTGAGGAAATCCAGCGGCCCTCATTGGGATCAGGCGCCTCGGGATGAGAATGAAGACTGCTTATCCTTCATAGCTTCTGTCCTTCTGAAGACAGAAGTCCAGGGATCCAGAATTCTACATCTCGTGATAGTTCATGGCATCTTTTCCTGACATCCCCGGGGCTACTGACTTGAAGGCGATGCAAAATTTTCGCACAGAACTTGACCTCTTTCTAGCCTTCAGGCTTGCAACAGGTTTGAACAGTTGTGCAGTTGTGCTGCCCCCGTTTTGGCCCGGGCAGGTAAGTTTGGGGGTGGTGTCATCTGCTTCCTCGCGTAAACGTTACTGGTTTGAGCACAGCCTGCCCTTGGCAGCATGGCGACTCCTAGCTTCAAGCTTCAAAGCAGTATCTGCTGCCTCGCCTTGAAATGGCAATGAGTCAAGATTGCGGCACATCGCTGGCATGATTCCAGCTTACCTCAAGGACTCAAGGGACCCCAAAAACTGCTGGTGATTCATTTGCACCCAACATGCGTGGTGATTTTGGGAAGTACAGGTCCTCTGCAAAAACACATATCTAAAAAAGCGGATATTGGCTTGGACTACACAAGGAGAACGGCAAATCTGCCCTATACGTCCCAAAGTCATTAAACGTAAACCCTACGCGTACCCCGCAAAAACAATCGCAATCCGCTCACGCCTCAGCGGCGTAGTCTCCAGGGTAGCCTTCGTAGGCTGCTTCCAGGCCTGCCAAGCATGGCTGGGAGGAGGACCCTTCCTGAAGTAAAAGGGAACCCGGTTTGGGGTTGGACCCCTTTTCCACAATGGTTCTTGCAAAGGGCATATGGGGTTCAGGGCTTTAACTTTGATACAAGATCCTGAAGAGCATATCAGGTCATAGGGTCAACGCTGCAGATGAAGATGTTCATGCAGATGTCTTCCCACTACTCCACCTCTGGAAGCTGCCAGCCCTTGCGCTGTGCAAGACACCTACAATACCAGGCTCCTATCCTTCAAGCAGCTTTTTGCTGCAATCCAAATAGAACCGGCCCACACCGCCTGCATGTCTGATGGGGTGATTTGAGACCCGTACAAATTCCTTGTAGTTCGCTTGATTGGCAAGCCCATCGATGATTGTGCAGGATTTCCTCGGTCACGTTCCGCACGACTTCACAGGTACATTGAGAATGCGTGAGTTTTCTCAAACATGTCCTGCGGTCAGCAGAAAACACCTTACCGGAAACTTCTGCGGTGACCGTACAGTACCAGTATTCGGTGCCAATGCTCTAGTTGATAAAATTGCGCATACTATTAATGCACGTGGTCCCCAGCAGGGCTCCTCTTTAGCACGCTAAGCCCATAACCCTCAGGGCCAAACCCGCACCCCTAAGCCTGAAGCCCGAAACCCCAGACACTAAGCCCAAAACACGAAGCCCTAACACCAAAGCCCTGGGCTCCCAAGTGTCCATGCTCCCTTGATCACCTTGCGCCGCTGCGCGTTCCTCGCGGAGGGCCTCTTCGAAACGCCTCCCCACTCGCAGTTTCGGATTTCGACTAAAGCTTTTAGGATGTGGGGTTGGGCTTTTTTTGTGGGGGTGAGGGTTGTGTGCGAGGCTGGCAAAGCCTCCCTGCTAGCGCAACCTACAACTTGCAGGCAAGTGTCCCTTGTGGGACAGGCGTGGCACCTGTGTTTGATGTCAGCTTTACCGGCACATATCACCCTGGCTGGGTGGGTACAGCGATACTGTCGGAACTAGGTACTTTCACAAGGGTTTAGGTCCTTTTTTGCTTGTTGTCGGGCAAAGGCTGGGTTGTCCTGAAAAGTCATAGTAGAGGCGACATTGCAAAGATGGTTCCTAACTTGAGCACACCTATCGCAACTCCCCAACAGCAAGTCCAAAAGGCCTGAAAATGAGAAGAAAAAGGAGAATCATATAGGTTCCGCGCTGGGATTCTCGGCAAACTTGGTCTAGGATATCGGGATGTTTCACATTGACCGAGCCCTCTTGGAAAAGGCCGCAGCCTCAGGCACTTGTCCTAGACTACATTGACAACACTTGTAGCAGAGGGCCCACGATCTTAAGCCAGCATGTTGTCAATGTCTCGGCAAACTGCAACCATATATCGTATTGGCCCTCATTACCTGTAGAAAGCATTGGTCAAGATCGCGGCACTCAAAAAGGGATACAAATCTGGACCACTACCCTCTGATTTGGAAGACCCCCAATACATCGCTAGCCAGATGCAATTTCCAAAAGCTGGCCAGATACAGTGACAAAAAGCAGGCCCACCCAACAGTTCTACAGCCATGCCAAAGCAAAGGCCCACAAGTTCTACCCAAGCTTGTGGTTCTGCGTACAATGACTCCACGAAAAAAGTTCGTGCATTCCAAAGCTGGCGAGGCGCAAATACCCGCAAAAAGAGCCAACACTCATACTGTAGAACCTGAAATCCTTCAGCCGACGCACGAAGCCGCTAAGCCCCAAAACCCAATGCCCCAAGCCCTCCTCAAAATCGCGAACAGCGGGCGCGCCTCCGTGCTCCACGCGAGGCGTCGCCAGCGCCCTGTTGAGAGCGCCGGGAGTCCTGGTGGCAAACATCGATGTTTTGGGCATGGGTAGAGAATCTCAACTAACGGCTTTGTGGAGAACGAAAACCTCTTCTTCCAAGAAGGTGATCTCTCGCTTTCGATGATAATTAACCCTTTGTTAGGTGACTATATGAAATGCCACAATAGAAAAATGCGCACCGTCTGTCGTTGTCATCCCGCGAGCGGGATTGCACATCTTCGGTGAGAATTTGCAAACAAGAAACAAAGTTTCCACGGACCTGTTAGAAGCTGCATTTGCGGATGAGAGGTTGCAAAAGTTGATTCGAGCCCGGTGGCATATCCCTATTCTGTTGACACCATGGCTTTGAAAGGATTATGGATAGACCGCGATGAAGGTGTCCGCGTCTACAACCTTGATTGGTAACACATGTTTGCCACCCCACTTGCAACTTTCTCGGAGACTCTCTTGGACATGATCCCCCAAAGATCCATACATGTCCCCCGAATAGTCCGTCTAAATCCCTACATGCCGAAACCCTCTCAACCCCCAAACCCTAAACCCTAAACCTTCAACCTAAGACATCCCCCTGAGAGCCTGAGGCTCCGGGGTCGCTCTTCGCTCCCGCACTGGCTCTGGGGAGAAGGAGTCCCTGGCATCAACAGCGGAAGGATATAGTCCCCCTTAAGTAAGAGTATGGCTTTGGGTACACTATAATAAGGTCGCCACATACCCCATACTCTATCTACTCAAGGGGGACCATATACAGGGGTTGGAGTTTAGGGCCTAAGGGGTTGGAGATGTAGTTTTAGGGGGTGTAGTGGAAACCGCATCAAATAAACCCGATAAAATGAATGTGGCAGCTGGATTTCAAAGGGATGAGGAAGCCAATGCCAGGATTGCGCAGGGCCATGCTCAAAACTTGCAGGCGAAAGTTCCTGAAAGTTAAACACAACCAACTCTTGAACAGGTTGCGGGGATTCATGGAGGTTCGAGATAAT